TTTAATAATAGTTTGATTAAAATTTAATTCAAATATGGTTCGTATATCTTTTTTTTCCCTATCCCTCTTCATCTCATCCCCTTCTTATTGCACTAGGTGTTATTGGAGCATGATCTCTATATCATGTCTCAAAACAAATGGTGCATAAATTGCTATTGACCGGCCTCAAAATAGGTGAGAATTCTATATAAGTCCACTTACGATTGCTTAACATAACGCTAAATTTTGTCCTGATTCGAATAAATGATCACTCGTGGCCCAAACTTATGATTGCAAGCCCAAGTATGTTAATTTGATCTCTTTGATCCAATAACCTTGAGATTCATTGTGTGGAGGCTTTGATTCTACCAATCCTCTAATGGATCTACAACACCTTTGGTTAACGCGGATCACTTAAACATCGTTGATCATTAAATGGTACTTATGAGAATTCCAAATGGATGATATACTTGAGAAAAAGCAAATGCAACTTGTTGTGTAGAGGCTTTGGTTCTACCAATCCTCTAATGAGTTCCAAATGCAAGTTTTAAGATGTTCATCCAACTAACCACTAATTATTGACTTGTTTTACCTTATGCTTTCATTCTTTTTTATGCTTTATGTACTATTTACTTTTAGCATTTACATTTCATGCCATTTTCATCTTTGCTCATTTGAGCATTTATTTTCTTGCCATTTGGTACTTTGGTCACTTGAGCTTTTCTTTTCCTTTCTTAAGATACTTAATAATAAACATAAACCCTAAAAAATCTTTAATGGTACTTGGACTATTTGGCTACTATCCTTGGCATTATGTAGTAGTGGACTTTTCTTGGACTTAGGATTAGAAACCTTGGCCTATCTTAGAAACCTTATGATCTTATCTGATTATTCTTATCTGGAGCTCTTGAGGTTTTACATCAAGACATTGGGTTGTTTGTTTGTTTTATAAGCAGGTTATTATGATTACACCCTTTGTTTGTAATATGGAATTCACCCGTACACAACCGTTACTCTGCCCAATTTTTATGAAGACTTAATACACTTGAAGTTTGGTTCTCTCAAGAGGTCCAGTATTTTTGCTTGCTTGGTTTCAACCCAAAGAATGGGAACTCTATCTTGGCTCATAATGTCAAATATTGGCTTCTTGTTGGTTAGATGTTTCTTATCCTTAGCTTTTACCTTATGCTTTAGGATAGTGTCTTATTCTCCTCTCATCTTCTTTAATTTCAAAAATCTTCTTTCCCTTTTTGAAGACTCTTCTAGTTTTTGAACTTGAACCATTTTTATAATAAACTTGGACTTATGTCCATGCATTTTCAAAACATTTTCATAAATAAAATCCAATCAACTTAATAATACCTTGACATTTTTTTTGTGAGAAGACTAAAAGTCAATCAATGTCATTTCAAACCATTTTCCACTTTGGTTTTTTATCTTTAAAACTTTTCTTAAAAGATTAAACTCTTGTCAATCCTTGTAGTGATGCAAACAACTATACTTCTACAATATATAGTGAAGAGAGATATTTTCCACTTGGGTGTTGAGTGAGGCATTATTGATTTTAAAATCCAAGCCATATCCTCCACTTTGATATGATGCAAATTCTCCTTTGTCATGATTGTGGATAGTAGGTAGGTTTTCCACACGGACAATGACGATGATGATTTATCTTATAAAATTAACCAACACATTTGGGTTTTAAATTTTTGAAAGAGGAACTACGTGTACCCTGATCTCCTATTGCACGAAAGGTGGTACGTAGGCACTAAAGGTTCGCAACTGCGGCATGTGCAAAAATTATAAAATATATATTTCTTTTCTCACCTCCACCATCCATTTTATATAACAGTTTTATAGCCAAAAATATACAGATTTTTACAAAGAGGCTCCTACGGAGTACCGTAGATGTTTAGGGTGCTAATACCTCCCTTTTGCATAACCAACCCCCTTACCTTGAATCTTTCCCCCTCTTTTTGGGTTATTCGCTCTTTTCCCATTCCTTTGGAAACAATAAAGCGCGGTGGCGATTTTTATTTTGATTTGTATAAAGTCTAGTCAATCCAATGGCTTAGTCTTGAACATTTCTACCACTACACCATGTCTGAAGCAAAGTCCATAGCCTAAAGTAGTTACTATCAGAATCACTGTTTTTCTTTGAATGCACATGTTTTTGCTTGAGGACAAGCAAATGTTCAAGTGTGAGAGATTTTAATAACATGATGTTTCACCGTTTATTTGGCTTGACTTATGCATGATTTTAGTATTGTTTTACGTTGCATTTTCCTCTTCTATGTTTGTTTTGTCTACATTTCAGGTTTTTGGTCCTAAACAGGTCACGAGTAGAGAAACAAAGCAAAACAGGTGAAAAAAGAGAAAAATAAGCTTTCCTACACTGATGGCGACCCCCATGGCGTTCACCCTAGAGGTGGCCATGGGTGGTCCACGTGCACTTGGTCAAAATACCAAGTCTTGGCCACTTCTGAAGCATGGCGGTCGCCATGGCCTGTGGCGGTCACCATAGGTTAAAAATCTCAAATGGTTACAATCATGTTTCATGGCAGTTGCACAATTTGGTTTTTCATGTTTTCTTATAAATAAGCCCCTAGTTGTTTCATTTGGAGCTTCCAAGCTTAGTGCATCACTTAAGCCATATACTATCCATTTTGCGAGCTTTAAATCTTCACACTGAAGGGTTATTGTATACTTTGATTGAGTCTATACTTAGTTTAGACCAATCTTGTATAAGTTTTATTTCTGCACTTTATCGCTTTAAAGATTATCAGCTTTTGTTCGAAGTTTCCTCTGTACCAGATAAAAGTCTCTTCGGAGAAGGTTTTTATTATATTCCGTTATTTATATTCATTACTTTATTTAATTTGAGTTCTTCATCTACTTCTTCTACTTTTGCATTTTTAATTATGCTTGTCATGTTTTATTCAATTATCTAATTAATTGCCTTTTACGTTATTATGTCAAGCTAATTAATTTGGTGTTGGAATATGAGGACTTTAATCAAATGTATTTTATTACCTTTGTGGAATTACCTTTGGGGATGTTTTGGTTTTTAAATAATTTTACTAAGGCTTAATTTAATTTGTCTCTATGAAAGTAAGACAGTGAAAACACTGGGTAAGATCGAAATTTGTATGGTACAAATTATTTAAACTGTTAAGTTGTTAATTAAAAAATTCTGCAATACCCCTTTTATTAATTAATTAGAAAAGTTTAAGGTTTATAACAAGTTGATTTTAAAGCTATTTACGAACGCGCGCGTTTATAGGTTTAGGATCCGGTTCTTAAGCAAGAGCTTAAGAATCCTTTTTAAATTAATCTTTCCAATAAAAAATTACTTTTCAATGAAGAAATGAGTTTAATTTATTAAAAATAAGTTTATTACTCTAACGCTTTGAGCGCCTACCATGATTGACGATATAAGGTATAAATTAGAGGATAAATTCAGTTCAGAATACACAAGAGCGACAATTCCCGTTAAATTTATTCTTTTCCATATAGAAAATATCACCTCACTGAAAATCTTATTTAGGAACAAATAAGAATACTGTTGATTGAAGAAATCTACATTCCGACACAGTTTGCCAATTTATTTATTACTTCTATTTTATTGTAATTCTATTATTAACTATTATTTATTATTTCCGCATACCAATACCTTCTTTTAATTAATCACCTTGAATAGACATTGTAACAATTAGTAATGATATATTTGACTATTGGTATATGTGATTCGATATCTTTTAAAACTACATGATAGATTGTGCACTTGCAGTTAGATTATATATTCACACAAATAGTCGACCGAGCGACATGATCATTATAATATATCAAGAAGGAGGCGTTAGAAGGCTCTTCTGGATATTCGAGGTTCGCCTGCTCAGGCACCTCAACTTACTCGGGTATATCAACTTCCTCGGGTACCTCAATCTGCTCGAGTACCTCCTTCTCATCGGGTATCTACTCATGTGCACGAGAGGATGATGCTTGAGATAAGCGACTCCTTGGTGTAGAAGTGGAGCCTCCAGGAACTTCCTCTCTCCGTACCCGACCCTGTCCTTGAGATACGTTAACCTGCTGCTCAGCTCTCTCATGCTGAGCAGAGGCAGTTTGGCTTGACCTGCCTTGTCTCAATCAATTATTTGGGGTCTTGGTTGTTAGTCATTTTCCTGAAAAATGAATTGTTAATATGTTGGTTTAAAAAAAATCAACTCAGGCAAGAATTCGCATGTGTACATCCGAAAGTGGTCAATGAGGTTTCAAATGTGCATATCCGAAACTACATGCGAACAACCATTTTCGGAGAGCTTCTTCTTGCCCTAAATCATCCAAAAACCTTATTTTGTCACCCAAACATCAACATTTAATTACTCTAACACCAACCTACACAATGTAATTGATTCTAACTAACCTAATAACTTATTATAGTATTGCAAAATGAATCAAATGCAAATGAAGAAACTTACACAAATTTGAAGCTTTGGAGATGAGTTGAAATGAGTTTTTGAGTAGAAATGAGTTGAAATGAGTATAAACTCCAAGTTTGAGAAGAAATTATGTGGGGGTAGTTTTGGATTTGTAAACAAATGGGTTTTGAAGCATGGAAATGTTCTGTCCGCGCATGTGAAACAATTAAATGACTTCGGATATGCACATCCGAAGTATTAAATTATAAGGTTGATTCAGATATGTACATGCGAAGTCACATTTTCTTGACAAAATAAAATGAATTCAGATATGCACATTTGAATTCACCTATTCTTGACAAATACGATGAATTCGAATATACATATATGAAATTTGAAGATATTTTGGATTTTTCGCCAGGGATCTCCAAAAAAATCATAGAAGTGGGGAAATAAATTCTCTAACAATTTTCAATCATCTTAATAGGCCCGTTTTTAATTTTTGAGCCCATGAACTAAAGCAAGGTTTTTGTTCGGTAGAACCTTGAAACATTACTAGTGTAGAACCAACCCAAACCCTAAAAACTCTCCGATAACAAAATGGCCTCCGTTGCCGGAAACACCGCGAGATCGATATTCCGATCATCCTCCGCCTGTCGTACGGCATTCCGAATCAGCTCGGAAGCTAAAGCGGCTCGTTCTCCTTTCCGAATTGCCTCCAATAAGCCTACATCACAATCCGCATTCAGGTAATTCACCGCAATTTACCGAAGGAAACTGAAACTGCTCCTTCGGTAGCATTTTAACGATACAATTGTTCTTTTTACATGATTTCTAGTGCTGAATTTAGTGTTAGTTCAACTGCAATGTGGTTAGTTTACTGAGATGGAAATGGATGAATTTGATTAATTTTGTGTGTGGAATTGCTTGTGTATGAAGGAGTCCTGTTGAATTGAGCTTCTGTGTGGAATCCATGTTGCCGTTTCATTCGATAACTGCTTCCGCGTTGATGACTTCAAAGTTAGTAGTTTCTCAACGCAGCTATGGTTGGCTTCCTGAAGGTATTTCTCTGATACTACTACAATGCAATTATCATGTGTTACTAAACGGTTCAGTTTTGTTTTCTTTTGCCACTTTAAAGGGTTTTGTTTTAGTGGCATTGTTAGTTTTTGTGAAGGCTTTTTGTCTTCAAAACATCTGTATAATACAAAAAGATCTCGAGATTAAGGATTTGGATTGAAGCATGGTTCTGTATAGAATATTATGACGAAAGTTGATCTATGTAGCCGACCCTACTTAGTGGGATAAGGCTTAGTTGTTGCTGTTGTTGTATATTTGATTAAACATTCTTAATATCTTGCAAATGGCATGTAAAAGTAAAACATCTTCCTTTTCTTTATCCCTTGTTTACTGGTTGGGAGCTTATTGAGAGTTGTTTGAAGAAAAGATGGTTTTCGGAAGATATTTTACAGCTAATTAGGACTAAAAAGAGTAATATTGTTGTATGGTATTGTAGTCCCGCCCTTTGGATCGCCTGTGATCTTTTTATTGGCTGACGGATGGGTTTTACTTTTGAATTAGGTAGCTAAACATCTGTAGGATTCCTTGTGTTCTTTCTTCAATTTATTTTTCGGGTAAGTTGGCGATTTTTTTAAATTCTCGGGTTAAACTAAATGGAGTCTGGTTAGTGTTGATATGCAATGCATTCAAAATATATATGAAATGAAATTATCCATGTTCTTGGGAAAAGTGGTTGATATATCTGATGTAGACTGCATCTTTCTGTAACTATTAGTCTTGTAGCAAAAATTGATGGATTAAGTTTTCCCCAAATCTTCTGCTTTCCTTGCTCCAAATCAACTAAAAATCATCTTCTCTTTGTTTGTAGGCAAAGAGAAGACTATTTGAAGATCAAGAAGCAAGGTTGGGATGACATGGACCTCTTATGATGTTCGACTTTAAACAAAAAGAAAACCTGATTAAGAAAAAATGCTAGATATCTATCCCTAATTATCTTTTACATTTAGAGCAAATTTGTCTGCTCATGGGTTAGTGAATATCATTAAGCTGGATTCTCAGTTTACATTGTGTTTTAGGAAATAATTATTTCTGTTTTTATCAAGCATATTGTTCCATATTTTATGCATCTTGAATGTAATTGTCAAGACGTTGAATACGATTTTTTTTGGACTTTTTTTATCATGTTAAATGTCCTAATTATATTTCTTATTCTTCTGTGGTATCTAAAACCTATAACTTCAACAAATACCCTACATTCTAGTTAGTGTTTCTTTTGAATTCAATTTATTTCCTGCGTCTGTTTGTTTGATCATTTGAAATATTATATGCATTGTTTTGAGGGACTTGGCTGCTGAAATTCTGTCACTAAATCCATAACTAATTCAGTTTCTAGGATCAACTGATAATAAAATACTGATCTCTTTTGTTTAATCAGATTGCAATGATGATGTGTGATAACTATTCTGAAGATTGAAGCAATCTTTTTTTGTATTACGTGCTTCGTGAGGGTGTCTTGGCTGAGCCATTGGCGGGTCAAATTAAATCTCAAAGTAGACCTCATGTAACTCTATTATTTGTTGTTCAGATTTATAAAAGCCTACTGTTTTATCCACCAGGTTTTATTGTCCAAAGCCAAATAAGCTGAAATTGTATTGCACAATGTCTGATAAGTTGTCTTTTATGTCATGTTCTTTAGAAATTTTCCATAAGAATCAGTTAGGGGATGTTTAATGAATGTAGAGTTGGAATATTTTCAATTTTTTTATTTATAATTTTGACCCATTATGGCTGATGCGAACTTACTCTCCTTATCAATTAATATGTTCCATGAATTTTGGCTGTGCTCTTGGTTTGGCAAACTACTATCCTTCCTACAAACTGATAATATTATTGCCATGATATTCCTTGGTTTACAATTTTTTTTCTTCATATCCGGGTAGGCAGTATAACATTTTTCTTATTTGTCCTGTCTCTTTAAATTTCAGAAGGAGAGGGATCATGATGTGATAACTACATAATGCGATTCAGATTATGCTCTCAAATTTTACTTTGTGGCTATCAAAGATGGAGTGATCATATCAATGTTGGATTGATAATGTAGAGCACTGAATAAAATATGAACTTGCATGTTTTCTTGATTAACCTTTAAAAGTAACCTTGATTTTGAGAATTATAGGTTCATTGCTTAAATTTTCAAAAAGGCTCAAACTTTTGCAATCTAATAAAGTTGATAAATCTATTATGTGTATGACAAAGTAATATAACTATTTGAAATTTGAGAATGAAAGTTCCTGTCTTGGCCGAGACTCAGACCCCCAAGATAAAAAGCATATCTACAACTGCCATTGATATGGTCGTGTTTGCATATAACAAACCATGGGATACAAATGTTTATGAACGTTTATGAATTTATTAGTGTCAATAGATCGTCTTTCAAATATAACCTTCGGATAATTTACAGTAGATCAAACAAGTGGCCCTTAATTGTATTTATAAATTTGCTCAAAGTCGTTGAAGCACCAAGGTAGATGACATTCACATAAGTGGTAGTCTTGTCTACAAAAATGACATTGGCAACCAAATATAATAGGTATGCTCTTATAGCATACACTCTATGCTGTCGTATCTATTCGTTATCACCAATCGCTTTCTGTAATCTTAATATCTCATGTAAACACTTTATGCAAAAAACTAAACCTAGCATGAGCCCCATAGATGAAATCAAGTTCCTCTATGACATTCTCTAGATCAACTCTTAGATAGTCTACCATCAACACCAATGCTTCGTCTTTGTTAATTTTCCCATGATTTAATAGTCTCTCCTAACACGAAGATGCAGCAGACACGAGACATCGTCCAATATGATATGTGAGTGCACTTGTCCATTAGATGTTTTGTATGATGTCAAAACTATGATAATATTAGCATTTCTCTATATTGGACGATATTTCTGAGTCATTATGTGCACCTTTACATCATGGTACTTAGAATACATTTAGAAAATGTTTGGAAAATGTATCATGTATTAAAAATCAGTTTTTGCATGAAGAACAGGTTTATATGTTCACACATACGAGTTATGAGTCCACACATGTGGGTCAATATTAAAACATGTAACTTTTGTAACTATGTGTCGACAGACACATCCTTTCAGGTCGACACATATTGAAAAGTTTCATTTGTGTCGACACATACGATATACATGTCGACACATGTAATCCATTTTTAAAGTCTGTAACTTCTGTTTCTTTGTATCGACACATGACCTTGAAAAGGTCGACGCATGTTATTAAGTGTCGACACATGACTTATATGTATTGACACATGCTCTATCTTTTTTTGAAAAATTGCACTTTTTCAAACTTCTAGATTTTCTTTTTGCCTCCAACTTGCACACATAGAAATACTTCATGCATGCATCATTTCCAACTTGATGAAATTATAAACACATACAAAAATTCCTTTTCAGCTTCAACCTTCATCTATGCATACAAACAAACAAACTACACGTAATCATTTTTGTATTTGGATGCCATCTAGACAAGTGTTGATAACGTTCAATTAGGGTTGGTGTACCTGTATATTAGATTGAGAATCTTTGGGAGTTTCATTGAGAAAAACCTTATGGTTTGTCCTCCATGATTATAGTGTTGATTTAGGGGTTTACACAAGATTTCACAAATATTGGATTCGATCGAGTGAAAGCTTTGAAGAACAGGGGTTCTTGCAAAGGAGTAGCGTGAAACTGTGAATCATTTGGTGTTATCAGGATACTTTGTCAAGCTCAAGATCAAGGAAAGAGAAAGGGTTAGAATCAACATCAAATATTGAGTTTGTAGGATTGTATTGCTACATTTCTAAATTCCATTGGGTTTGTAGGGTTGTAATCAACTTTTTGCAAAGTAAGATTGATATCTCAATTCCATTTGGAATTGAGGGTAGACATAGTTATAGCGAGGATGATTGGTGAACTACCTAAACAAATCCTTGCGTCCTTTCTCTCTCATTTATTGTCTATAACAAATTGTTAAATTCATTGATTGTGTAATCAATACGTACAGACAAATCCTTTGATTGTTTAACTTGAAAATTTTTTTTATTACATTACAATCAATTATATTATAATTGGTATTTCATATTAACAAAGTCAAAAGGAAAATCTGAAAAATCAATTGCACACCAAGTGTTCGATAATTTGCTAGTTTTTGTTTTTATCAATATTTCAATTGGAAATAGGTTAACATTGTCATCATAGTTAAACGATTGATTGAGAAATTATTGTATTAAGTTATAATCATTATCTTAGATTTCATTTGGTATATTACGCATCTCTGAGTTTCCAATAATCAGTTCAGTTTAGACGACTTGTTTGACCTAGGCTAAAACTTCCACCTGCCATAGTTTTTCACTTATTTTTCAAAACAAAATTTAAAAGGTAAATTTACTTTGGGAATCTATTCACACCTCCCTTCTAGATACATTGTCGTGATCTAACAAGTGGTATCATGAGCTTTAGTTCATTATGTACTTCAAAAACACTTATTAGATAATGGCTACCGAATCTAAAGGGGAGTACAATAGAGCGCTTGTTTTCACCGGTGAAAACTATGGTTATTAGAAAAGTTGTATGCATATTCATATCAGTTCATATGATAAGGGAGTGTGGGACGCCATTATCAACGGTCTGACTCAAATTACCGTGATCGATGCTAATGGTGTTGTCACACCTATACTGAAAGCATAATGGAATGATGATAAAAAAAGTGGGCTTACGATTGAAAAGCACAAAATATTCTCATATTCGCTCTTGGTGTTGATTTTATCGTGTTTCCCATTGTGAAACCGCTAAAGCTATGCGGGACACATTACAAGTTGCCCATGAGGGAACTAATAAAGTCAAACTAGCTAGAATTAATACACTAAATCAAGAGTTTGAACTATTTCGAATGACGCATGATGAAACCATTACCGAAATGCAAAAGAGGTTCTCTCATATCATTAATCGTTCGAGTGCACTTGGGAAACCATTTTCCAATGAAATTGATACTAATAAAGTTTTGAGGTGTCTTACTACGGATTGACAACCAAAGGTCATCGTGATCAAGGAAGCTAATGATATTACAACAATAGACCTCACTACATTGTTTGGTAAGCTTGAAGAACGTGAGCAAGAAATCACTTGCTTGGTGAAACATGAGAAAAAGAATGAGAAGAAGCTAAAGAAGGAGAAATACAAGGATAAGGAGGTAGAAAATAAGTCTATTGATCTAAATACTTCTACTTACAGGTCCTCAACAAATGAGCAAAGTGATAGTGATATTAGTGATGTCGAGAATTCATATATGAAGAAATTAGGGTATTTATGAAGAGGTATAATAGGTACATTAAAAAGAATGAAGTAAAGCACTCTGATAAAAACCTCATCAAGTATAGAAAACAATCTACATCCTCAAAGGAAGGTGACAACAAGAAACTAAAATCAAGAGTTACATGCTACAATTGTGAGAAATTGAGTCATTATAGGCCGAAGTGTCCATCTCTTGACAAAGATAAAGAAAAAGACCAACACAAGAAGTCTAGAAAGTCTAGAAGAGCTTATGTTACTTGGGAAAGTGATAGTGATCTCTCAAGTAATAAAAGCTCAAGTGATACTGAAGTGGAGGAGAATGTGTGTCTATCTGCTCATCAACGTCATAAGAATAAAAAGAATGCAATTGATTCTAAATATAAACATGTTCATAAGTTCTCTTATTCTGAATTACAAAATGATTTTGAAAATTTACACGGAGAAGTCGTAGATGTTTTTAAAAAGTTAGCTTCACACAAAATGATTATTAAAAAATTAGAAGCTAAAGTTTTAGAAACCGGAGAGAAAATGAAAGCTCTAAAGCAATCTATGATAGATAGTCTAAAATTTAAGATGAAGAACCTTCATGGTTTGGTTGTGAAACTTGTCACATTTAACAAAAAGAGTCTAAAACTCTTAAAACCAAATTGGACACGGCATTACAATCAAAGGTCACTATAGCTATTAATACCTCAAAGCTTAAAAAGTCCTTGAATAAACCACATAAAAGTATAGTTTTTCTAAAAAGGATGCAAATAAAAAAAGTAAACCTCTTCATAATTTGTCTTGTCTCTATTGTTGTAAATGTTGGAAATCCACTAAATTCTATGATGAATTTCTACCACAATGACAATTTAATTATGAGACAAATAAAGAAAAGAAGACAAGACAAATAATTTCTGCAGAGTTTCTCTCTGCTCACAAACTGTGAAAAGTTTCTTATTCACTTTGCAACTGCAAAATACTGTGAATGACTTGCTTGACTTGCTTACAAAAATAGGGGTTACTACCTCTATTTATAACTGAGCTTACACCCTAAGCCCAAAGCCCAAAATATCTTTTTGTTACTAAATCAAATCTAATTTATCCTAGACTTAAATCAAATCTA